ACCGTCAACTGTGAGTTCATCGCCGCCCCCGCGCCCGACGCCGTCAAGTATTTGTCCTTTTTATTGCCGGTCTATAAAACAATCTCTCGCTTCCATAAAGGTATTAAACCTCTACTTTATATTACTTGTTGTTTGTAATAATTAATGATATTAATAGTATCATGCTCTTTTATAATACTCTACATGTAGACATACAATAATTTAAATCATAGACAATAGAATATCAATACAAAATCTCATGATTTTTTAATGGAATTCCTTATATAGAAAACTGTTTTAAATTCGACTTTATATTCATATTCTGTACATACAGTATATTAGAAATGTATATAATGTTATTAGATAACAAAACATTTTGTATGGTTACATTCTTTATAATGTATTATAGATACCATACGGGTTTAAAGACTAGTAGTGTATGAATAGTTGGAAGATTGTGTGCAATTTATTGTTTTCAGATATATTAATTATATAATTTCTACTATAGTCCATCCGAAACCATGACCACATTTAAACAGCTGACTTTTGATCACATTTATGTGGATTCAATAAAGACAAATAAAAAGACAAATTAATAATAATTTTTTTATTAAATTTTATAATTTTTTAAATATTTAATAAAATTAATATTATTCCTAAAACTCAAATTGCAATTTATTTAACATTATTTAGCAATTGTTATAATTTGTTACAAATAATTCATTTTAAAATTAATATTTGTTACATATATATTTGTAACTTAATTAAATTAATTGTATGGGAATTGTATGGACGAGTTAGACTTGTGTTGGGGTCTGTAATGTTTACCGTTTAATTGCTTTGTTTTACCACGAATTCAACATTAAGTGTGTGTTTGTTAAATCTATTCACCCCCTCCAACTACTACTATGGAATATGTGCTAAAACATATTGGATACTGTATCTAAGTATGTTTTAACAAAGTGTTAATGATATTTACTGGCAAATAAACTGTCAAAACCAAGAATCAAGCCGTGGCAGCCATAAGTGTGACCAAACGGTTATCTTTAACTACGGTTACAAATATTGCTATTATAAGCTCGTTATGGCTATTAATTTTTATACCATTTATTATTTTGCATTGACCATTATATTATTTATTAGATAACAAAAAAGTATTCATGTTGCTATAAGTATAGTATTTAATATTTGGGATATTTTATTAAGGTTCTAGAATTTTGTTTTACATTCATGTTATTTGCAAACTAATGCTTACTAAATGTGTACGAATGCGTACAATTTGATTAATGTGAATTGATGAGAGCAATTTAAGTTTACAATTATTATTGTTTTTATTTCGTACAGTAATTAATGAATTATAGATTCATAATTAAACGACAATTATATTCTATACCACTAGTGAGAGCAATGAGCTGGGTCAAACAAGCGGAAAACAACGACAATGAATCATATCATGCTGATAAACGTGATATTTTAAACGCTAACCAATTAATTAAGCTTAATAACAATAAATATTGACAACATTTAGCCCGATATCTGTCGATGTCATTGCGAGACAAACGGAAATAATACAAATGTGGCCACAATTATAGCACATTGTCTGACATCCAGACGTGGGGTCAATTCGCCCGAACACGACCTCAAAGGTTGGTGTATTCGGTAAACCATGAGATGAATGAAAAGGTGTCGATATTTGTCGGCGACATCACAATCATAGAAGTGGACGCCATTGTAAACGCCGCCGACCAGGAACTCTCTGGGGGTGGAGGGGGTGTGTAACTCTGATTATTTCACCACTCATTCTCATCTACACCTATTTTATAACTCAGTGGACGCCGTTATACACAACGCCGCCGGTAAACACATGTTACGGTTGAAGTGTATGACCCTTAACGGCTGTCCCACCGGCACCAGCAAAATCACTGGCGGCTATAGACTGCCGGCAAAGTGTAAGTGTAATTACAACAGGTTAACAAAGCAGAACAATAACTTCCATGTTCATTATTAACATAGACATAATTAATACGGTGGGACCGAATGGTGAACAACCGGATCAGTTAGGCAACGCATACCGGAGCGCTTTGGACCTAATGGGTGAGAGACAGTTAAAGTCCATAGCGTTTCCCTGTATATCGACCGGTGTTTACGGCTATGCCAAAGAGGAGGCGGCAAACGTGGCGCTCAAGACTGTCCGCCAGTGGTTGGAGTCGAGTCCGCACTCAATACATATCGAATGAGTTGTGTTTTGTTTGTTTGGGGAAAAGAATAGAGATATATAACCGATTAATGCCAGTATATTTCCCGTACGATTCAAGTGACCATGCTAAAAAATTAGAGCTTAATACCAGTCTTTTGTAGTGAGAGAGAGAGAGAGAGAGAGAGAGAGAGAGAGATTTACAATTACTATAAAACATTGCCAAGATTAGTCAACATTGTCTCTAAACTTTGTGAACACTGTTTGTGAAGCTGTAAATATATTAAATAGGGATGATTGTGTCAATAGGGCTGTCCAAATTTGGCAATTATGCTAGTATAGTCTGATGCAGTGATCATATGATCTGTTGTCTAAACTTGCCACTTGCCAGAGACCGCCGAGTTATGGCCAGTTTTGCGATTACATCCATAGTGTTTATTGAATTGAAATATGGTGTTTCAGTGAAACAGTTTTACCCATTTTATTACTCATAAGATTTATTAATTAGTAATTTGTAACTAGATACATTAGTATAGATAATTAACAAAATCCAATGCTTAAGATACTATACAAATGACCACAAAACTGACCATAAATCCTATAATACCAGGATAATAGCTAAATTTTGGGAGTTTGGGCAGATTATTCCCTTTTTAATGGTAAAATGATACTTTTTTCAAAAGTACCATATGGTTTTTTACTGCCATTTAATTTGGTGCCATTGATTGTAGTGTTAAAACTCATTTATAGCACAAACTTAAACATTGAAAAATATATTTCAAAGTATGAAATCAAGTTAAAAACATTCACTTTGTCTGATTTGTTTGATTGAGTTTAAATAACTACATTATATAAGAAAGGTTAAACTTTAATATCTTAAATACTTTATATGATTTACATTATATTTAATGTACTTAATATATAAAACTACAAAAGTGTAATAATTATTTTTTGTAGTTTTAAAATTGAATATAAAGTTTACATTTAAATTTAAAATATTTTAATTTCCATATGAATTGTGAAGAATGTAATCAAGCGGAAGACGAAACAAATTACGATCGCTTGATTTCCAGGTTTCTAAACTTAGGGAACGGCAAGAAATACCCGGAAACAGATGAGGAGGCCAAAACTTTTTGTAGTGACCAGGCTAATCTGAAGATGTAAGTGATTAATTCATGTACAATGTATATAATAATAATATTGTATAAATCATTATTAATTATTTGAATATTAATAACATATAAACCAAATGACTGTAACTACAAAACGATCATAATATAAGATCGACGATAGAAGCGACTGCTGCCTTTAAATATTACGGCTCGTTAGGCTCGAGGTTTGCCCCGATGTTTCAAAAACTGAATAATCCCGAGTCTTTAAAATTAATAAAATGGTTTTGCAACTCAAAAGACCTGGGTCAATTCGGTAAGTTATTGATGGAAAAAGGGAGCGAGGCCAAACAGGTGAGGGACACCGCTATTGTCACGTTAGAGAGTTTGGACACAAGTCGCACAACTATGGCTCATGTTGTCTGGTATGACTCAATTAATTGATATTACAATAAATTTTGCTTTTGTATTAATATTGAAATTATTGTCACTACCCTATAAAACCGTCTATTGCCCGAACGTATAACGTTGCTGAACCACAATATTTTCATATTGTATAATATGATATTTTACCGAGTTATTCCGAGGGCAATATGTGGAGTATTATGGTAACATGACTAAAATTAAATGCTTATATCATTGAAACAGTGTTATTCGGTTATACGGGACTAAAGTAGAGGCCATATTTGACAGCACTCCGTGGCGCGATAGTATCCGCCTAGTTATCAGTTTGTACAAAAAAATAGCCGAATACGCAGAAACTGAGAGCAACATCAAAGAGAAGAGAGAGAGAGAGAGAGAGAGAGAGAGAGAGAGAGAAGGGGAGAGAGAGAGACTAGTCAATTAATCCCTTACAAACACTTTATATAAATTTAATTTATAAATTAATTCATTTCAATTTTTTTGCAATAAATCATAATATACATGTATATTTTCTTTGTTTGTTTCAGTTTTAGATAAAATAAGTTACATGTTGCTTGGTATAATTTTTAATATTAAACAACCAATAGCATACCACTTATTAATAATTAATTTTTAATCACAAGTATTTCATTTTAAAAGTATTTATTGTGTGATTGAAATAATTAGTTGTGATATTTATTTACTTAAATAATAAATGAAAAGTTATATTTTATGTAATAATAATTAATATATAATTATTTTGTTGAGTTCTTATATATAATTTATTATTTAGTATATAATTATAATTAAGATTATAAAATGAAAGGTATTTGTTTTTATTAAATATTTATAATTATAAATATATTATAAATTTTTATTATGATAAATTAAAAAAGGCAGTTATATAAAACACTTAAATTTTAAAATTACAGTCTATTTATTTATAAAAATCTATTTATATTATATTATTAAATTATAATCTAGTTATTATCTTAATCATTAATAACGTAAATTGCTGCTAACTAATTGCATGAATAAAAAAATATATAACTTAAAATTTTTAAATCAATTTTTAAAGAATATATTTATAATTAGTATTAGTTTACGTTTATATTAGATAAATATAATTAAGTTAATTTTATACGATATAATTTTATACATGATATATAGCAATTGCATTAATTGTGCTCGCTCATCTGGCATTGGCCTATGCGGCCGACCTATTTTCATGTCCCCGACCCGACTATTGGGGCGATTGTATTTGCGATGATATTGACCAGAGTCTAATCTGCTCAAACACCCCTGATGCTCCTGTGAAATGGTGGCCAGATCGAGACGCTACTTGGAGTCCATTCAAGCTCATTGTATTAGATGGATTCACAAGGGCGGCAGATATTAAATTAGGCGACTTCACTAAACTTAAAAGCACCGGGCTCAAACTAACCAATTGCCTGCTGACTGACTTTGATTTCATTGATACATTTAAAGACGACTTAACAAACGTTGTTTTGGACAATGTATTGGGAGAAGACAGTAAACAAATAAAACTGTCCAATTTGACCGACAAGCTTAAAGTGGGCACATTGACAACGTTCGGGGTAACTAATTCACAGCTGGACGACACACAGATGCCCGATGTGAGCGCGTGGACTAAATTGAAAATACTGTCTTTCAATGGAAATAAATTTACTAAACTAACCGATAAAATAAAAAGCCTACAAAAATTGACCACGGTCAATTTGCAAAATAATGCTTTAGCAAACACAGATGCCGAGGCACTCAGCTTTAATACAGAAAACAGATTGACACTTAAACTCGATCAAAATAAAATTAATACAAAATTTATAACTAATGCTAAACTCGAAAATGTCAAAGGACTGGACGTTAATTTAGCTTATAATGTAATTGAAAAATTTACCAAGGATCCTTTCGAATCGCTCGACAAAGAATTATACAAGATTGATTTGCATCACAATAATATCGTGTGCACGTATGATGATTGCGCCTGGGCCTTTCATGTTATGACAGCCCCATACGAGCACCTGTTGCACGTCAAGTGCGTCAATCTTCATAAAGACCTGTTTGAATTGGATGAGAGACCTTCCCGGCTATCCGACCACTACAGCCCCTTATACTGGACCCGCCACAATGGCTCCCATCACAACAGCCCCTTATACAGGGCACACACCAACACAATCCACTTGATAAACCGAGATACGTATATATTGTATTTGTGTATCCTTATTGTAAACGTAATTTTATTAACAAATATTTATTGATATAAATGAATATTATTAAGTAATTTTATTGTAAATTCATAATTAATAAATGATTAGTGAATTTATATTAAAAGTTTTAATAAAGCTTATAAATACAATATGATTGTACAATAAGTGTTTTGGTATGATTAATAAATAATGGATTACATAAGATTCAATTTATCTACAATAGAAAATTTATTTACCACAATCATATCAAAATTAGGTGAAATACAAAAATTGTAGCTACAGGTATGTTCAATAACAACTGATAACATAGCACTTGTAAATTAAAAATTATTCTCATAAGATGTGTATTTTGCAAGTATAGTATTTATATTTAAATGTTTGAATTAGTTATGATTATAGCTAACTTTGAATATTATTATTTAATTTGATAACTATTTATATACTGTATTAAAGTAGTAATTACAAATTATAGTATTTTTAATATCAAATTATAATTTATATATTGGACACAAATGAAAGGTAATTTTTATATCATAAATAAGTATTATATAATATTAATGGTCATTCTAATTAATTTACCACAACAACTAATTAGCCTTATCTAAAGGCTTTATCTTTATATAATAAAAATTCTGTTTACTTTGATTATTAAAATCTACTTATATTATTATTAAACTAGTTGCATTAATTGTGCTTGTTCACCTTGCATTGGTCTATGCGGGTGACGACTGGCTGTGTCCCCGATCAGACCTATGGGGCGATTGTGTTTGCGATGATAATACTAAAAGTCTAGTATGCGTTCAGCCATTCAAATACTGACCCAATCAACTGGCTGAATTTCAAACATTTGACCGGATTGAGCTAGATGGATTTGCTAAAGGGGAAATAATATTATTAAAAAGCAACACTAATATTAAAAGCACCGGGCTTAAAATCACTAATTCGATCGTGGACAATTTTGAGTTTATAAACAATTTTAA